GCCCAGAGCTGGCCCACAGTGTGTGTGGGGGGGACGGGGGGCGGGGGGAGCCCGAGCTGGGCTGTGGCTGGACCCCGGGGTGGGCTCAGGGTGCCATGGAGCAGGAACTGTGGGCAAATGAGTGTGTGAACTTTTATCTGAGTGGGGAGCCCACAGTTTCCACCAATTCCCCGAAGGTCTGAGACCCGTGGGGAGTTCTGAGCCCCTGGTCGGCCAGCACGGACCCCCGGGTCCTCCAGGCTGGAGACGGCTGGGGACACAGGCAGTGGAGGGGCGGTCAGACCCTGGGTCTGCCCCGTGCCCTCTGTCCTGCCCCTGGTGAGGGCGATGGTGGGTCCCTGGCCGGCTGCGTCTGGCCCCTTCCTGTTGAAGGCAATGCTGTGATGTGGACATGTCCCTGAGCTGGCTGCGGTGGGGCTGGGCCGGGGACAGTGTAATCCCAGGGGGCACATGGAGGACTCTGGAGTGAGTTCAAACCCCAGATCTTTCGCTTGCAACCTGGTGACCTTGGGCAGGTGCTGAACTGCTCTGAGCCTCAGTGATCCCAGGGGAAGGGACAGTGGTAACGGGACTGGGCACAGGAGGTGTGAGGGGGAACGGTAGCCTGCGGAGCATCTGCCGGTGCCTGGTGCGCGGGAGCGCCCCGTGGTGCCCCCGTGAAGCGTGAGGCGGGGGTCTGGGCAGGAGTCCAGGGGTGCAGGGGCCCGTGGGTCCTGGTCCGGCCCCTCCAGCCGGGCCACCCTGCCTACGCCGCTGCACAGCCGTGGATTCCTTATTTGTCAAACCGCTGGCGAGAATCATGTGGCGCTGTCTCCGGGGTCCGGCTGGGTTGGGGGCGTTGGTGGTGTGGCCCCACCCTGGATGGTGTCTGATGGACAGTCCCGGCGCCTGGGCTTGGCTGAGTCAGATTTGGAACAGTGTGTGTGTGTGTGTGTGTGTGTGTGTGTGTGTGTGTGTGTTGGGGGGGGACCCCAACAAACCTAGCCTGACCTCACCCTCTGTCGCCGGGCGCCAGTGGTGCTGGCTGCCAGGAATTGTCCGCCGTGGCTGTGAAGGCCGAGGAGCCAGCATTGGGGGGGGAGAGGGGGGGGCAGACAGGCCCTTTCTGGCTGGCTCTGTCCACACCTGACACGAACCCGGAATAGCTCTTTCCCTCCACCAGGGACACGGCCCTGCTTTTAGCAGCTTGTAAAGCCACCCCTGGACATGTGTATTTCAGGAAGGCCAGGATAATATTTAGCCGCCAGGCTGTGGAATGAGCCCTGAGCATGTGTGTGTCTGATGGTGCCTGTGTGTCCAGGAGGCTGGGGGAGGCAGCCTGCATGCCCCTTCACCGTTTTAGAAGAGGGTCACCTGGGTTGGGGGGCCTGCGGGCACCATCCTGGCTCTGCCCACCCTGGCTGAGCAGGGGCCCGTCCGCCTGTAAAATGCCGTGTGATGGCCTTTGGTCTCTGTTGTGTGGGGCTTGTGATAGGACCTGGTTGGTAGATGTGAAGACAGAGCCCGGGTACAGGGCTGTGTGTGTGTGTGTGTGGGGGGGGGTCTCCTATAGGGACCGCAGAAGCCATAGGGCCGAGGAGGCTGCTGGGACATAGTTGTGCCTATTTTCGGGAACCAATCCCTGGGCCTGTGTCAACAGCCGAAAAAACTCTCAGCTCTCCACCTGCTACCTGAGTGACCTTGGGCAGATTACTCAAGGGCACTGTGCCTCAGTTCCTCATCTGTTAATGGGGACAATAATGGGACATTAGCTCCTCACATTCCAGGGAGGATTAAGTGACTGAAAGCATGTAAAGCTGTTAAAATAATGCCAGGCTTTCTGTGAGCAGTGGTAGGCGTCATTGTTCCACCAGCGAGTGAGCTGCGGCCGCCGCGCGAATGCAGGGAGAGGATCGTCTGCTGTGTCCCGTGTCCTGGCCGTTTTGGACACAGCGTTCCATCCCCAGAGGGGGCGTGGCGTGAACCCCACAGTATAGCCAGGGAAACTGAAGCTCAGAGAGGCAAACACATCGCCCAACGTCACCCCGCTGGTGAACGGTAAGGCTGGGATTCGAACCCAGCTCCCCAGACCCTGTTTGTGCAGAACTCAGATTCGGTGCCCCTTCTCGAGAGGGGGGGGCGCCCTGCTCTCATCCAAGGGGGCAGGTGGTCTCAGAGGCGTATTTGGCTCTCAGGCCTCCTCATTTCAGAGATAGCAGCTCGACATGGTCTCCCAATAACATGGAGCCTATAACAAAATGTGTGTGTGTGTGTGGGGGGGGGGACACAAAAAGCGTGGCACCTTGTTAGGGCGTCAGGAGCATCCCACGGAGCAGAGCTCAGTGTAGGCGCTCGGCTGCAGGATGTGTGGCCCCAGGCCTGGGCCGGGAGCCTGCAGGCTAAGGTTACCGAGTCAGCATCGTATTTATAGCAGAAACTCAGCTGCACCCCCAACTGCCAGCCCCACACACGTCCAGGGAAGGTGCTGCCCTTACACTCGCCCGATCCCGGCCTGGCTCTGCCCCTCAGTGAGGTGGGGCATGGCCGGGTCACTCCCCCTGCGAGGCCCGGTTTCCTCATCTGTAGGATGGGGCCCTGTCGGTCCCTCGCTGGGCCCGGGGACGGTGTCTGAGTTGGCGCTGCCTGGATGGGGGGCCGGAAGTGCCGGCTCCAAGCATCCTGGGTCTGTTGATGGTCTTTTCCTGCCTCTGACCGGACCCGCCCGCTCTCCCGTCGGCAGAGCTCCGCCGGAAGAGAACCCAGCCTCTGGGCTGTCAGTCCCCTGGTGTTTGGGAAAGTTTCCAGCAAAGACACTTTACAGTTCCCAGCACCAGAGAGCAGCCGCTGCATCCTCAGCCGTCCACCGGAGCCCAGGGTTCGAGTCTCCGCGCTGCCACTCCCTGTCTGTGGCTCTGGGCAAGTCACCGAACCTCTCTGAGCTTCCGCTGGGTGGGCACTGGCCTTGCCTCAGGGGGTGAAGTGAGAATGGACACCCCTAACGCGAGCACATGCTCAGCCAGCAGAGTGACCCTCTCTCTCCTCCTGTCACCTCCCACCAGCCCCCCACTCTGGGCACCAGTCACCCCGTTTGTAGAGTGGGGAGTGGCTGCCTTGGCCAGTGTTCCGAGCTCCTGGAGGGATTCCAAGTGACTCGGGGGGCGAGACGGGGGGGCTGAAAACTCTCTGGAGACCCCTAAAGGCCCCCCTGCTTGGCCCTCACGGCATCTCCCTCGGCCTGAGTGCAAGGAGGGTGCTCTCCTTCTAGTCACTGACTGGCCTGGGAGAGGAAAGGAAAGCCCGTCAGTTATTTAGGCCTCGCGTGGGGAGGGAGGGTCTCTCCCAGGAGAGGCGGGCGTGGTCCCTGGGCCTCAGCATCTTTCCAGGTTGCTCCCCTCATGCTGGTGAGGGCTGCCCCCTATCTAGGCGGGAAAATCGGGTTCAAGTTACGTGTCTTGGGCAATCGGGAGCCAGTGTAGACTCTGGCTCCAGGGAGGTACCGGGATTGCTTCAGTGCTGGGGGCGGAGGGACTGCAGAGGGAACCTGCCGTGTGCTGTCCTCTCACAATCCGAGTGCCTCCGAGCAGCGAGTGGCTCAGTCCTGTGGCTGAGTCCTTTTTCCAGTGTCCCAAGGACCCTGAGGCTCTTACACCTCTGACCAGAAAGGCAGGTTAGAACAGCGGTTCTCAACCTGTGGGTCGCGACCCCTTTGGGGGTCGAACGACCCTTTCACAGGGGTCGCCTAAGACCATCGGAAAACACATATATAATGACATATTGTTTTTGTGATTAATCACTATGCTTTAATTATGTTCAATTTGTAACGATGACATTGGGGGTCACCACAACATGAGGAACTGTATTAAAGGGTCGCGGCATTAGGAAGGTTGAGAACCACTGGGTTAGAAGCTGTGGGCCCTGGCCGGTGTGGTTCAGTGGATAGAGCATCGGCCCGAGCACTGAAGGGTTGGTTGTAGGTTCGATTCCTGGTCAAGGGCATGTACCTGGGTTTCAGGTTCGATCCCCAGCCCTGAGTGGGGCGCGTTTGGAAGGCAACCAATCGATGTGTTTCTCTCACTTAGATGTTTCTCTCTCCCCCCTCTCCCTTTTTTCCACTCTCTCTTGAAGCTGTTGGGAAGTCAACCGGCAAGCGGAAGTTACCCATTTCTGCTCTTTTAAAATATTGGATCCATTCTAATCGATCCATTTCTTGACATAATAAGATAGATTTTATGTGTTGATTTATTGTATTTTAAAAACGAAACAAAGCTGTTAGTGTTTGCAACCACTTATCTGTTTGTTTTTTCTTGAAATGATGCCATCAGAATAAAAGCTGGTCCTGACACTGGTCACACATCCGCTGTCACCCACCCGCTGATTCCACACTTCTGTGTCTACCGAAACAGCCCCTTTGTGTTTTATTGACTCTACCCCTCAGGATGGGCTGGGGAGGTTGTAGTCAACAAATCTCAGTGCTTAAAGCAGCAGAGGACTGCCATGCAGGCTGGGCACTCTCAGGGCAGCTCCCCTGCCCAGTGGCTCAGCCCGATGCCGTGGTGTGTCCCACGCATCCCTGGGCGTCCCCATGTGCCTCATGCGTCCCCGGGCTTGAGGCAGAAGAGGCAGGCGGAGATGCCACAGTGGCAATTAAATGTTCCCACCAGGAAATGACTGATCTTGTTGCTACCTGCATTTCATTGGCTCAGGCAGTCACCTGGCCACACCTCATGGCCAGAGGGCGGAGTACAGCCCTCCATCAGTGACCAGTAGTCATATCTGCCCCTTCTGGCTTTGTTTGCCATTAACTTCCTTTTTTATTTTTATTATTTTATACATTTTTATTGACTTCAGAGAGGAAGGGAGAGGGAGAGAAAGAGAGAAACATCAATGATGAGAGAGAATCATTGATAGGCTGCCTCCTGCATGTGCCCCACTGGAATCGAGCCCCCAACCCAGGCATGTGTCCGGACCAGGAATCAAACCGTGACCTCCTGGTTCATAGGTCGACGCTCAATCACTGAGCCACACCGGCCGGGTGACTTCCTTTTTTAAAGTGACCCATTTTAATTAGGAAATGCTCGGAGCATATCACATGCGCTGTGG